TGAAAGCTGATGTTTTTGAGATTCGTTTTGCACCTCTACAAATTTAACATTCAAAACAAAAATTTGATTTTTTGTAAACTTTATAATCCATTATTGCGCATTTTAAAAATAAAAACTTTTTTATTTTAGAAATTCAGCTTCATGCTATGCTATATCATGTGTAATGGAAATTGTTCCATTACATGATCACGTGGAATAAGTACTAGCACAAAGCACGTGCGCTTACCTAGGAGAGAGCGCCGTATGGTCACGTGGGTCGATTATTAGACCAAAGTACTAGCGCTTACCTAGGAGAGAGCACCGTGCATGCCTATAAATAGCCTACGCAAATAAGTTAGCTCTCTTTCCTTTATGTGGCTCTTAGGTCGGAGTTGACGTTAGTAAAATTGAGTATTGTATTGTTGCATTTTCATTAATTTGATTTATTCGAATAATTATTTAGTTAGGTTTTAATAAAGGAGGATTAATAATATATCTGTCGTCGAACCCGTTACAATCATGGATTAATTAAACACCTATATGAAGTATCATTGGATTTCGATCCGCCATTTAGAATTCGTTTGAGGTGTGCGCACATTTGTAGGTAATTTATTAACTTGACGTAACGTGAACGTAAAGGATGGATTCCAAACAAAAAAAAAGTTTGGTTTGGGAATATTTTTCAGTATTGGAAAATGGTACAAAAGTTAGATGCAATACCTGTGCTATAACTTTATCACGCGGCGCAAAAGATGTAAATGACTGTGGTACATCATCTATGCGTAAACATCTTCGTACCAAGCATTTTGAAAAATTTCGAAATCTTCAGCAAAAGGAGAGTGAAAAAAATAAATTATAATGAATAATGCTATTTGTTACTGTGTTTAATATAACTAATATTACAATTAACTTGATACAAATACGAATAAAAAATATTTCTTTGGTTCGTCAGAGAAACAGCTTATTTAGTTTTATGACCGCATACAACATGGATTCGGATTCGGATCCGTCCGGATCCATCGTCGAGATCCGGATTCGGATCCGGATCCACGGATCCCAAAATCTTGGATCCGTCCCATTCCTAATATATATATATATTTACAATATTCTATAAATTCTACCGAATGTTTGGCGTTAATATGTT